CAGTGAAGCAACGTCCTCCACAACTAGACTGAAGAACAAAAGGACAGCAACTTGTCTGTTCCCCTTCCCCGATTCCCCAGTGCTGTTCCCTCCTCCAATTCCCCAATAAAATCTTAAAAAAATTTTTTCCCATTTAGAAGTTTTTCCAATTTAAGGAATCCATCATCTGGCCATTGACGAGTAGCATCTCAATAGGGATTCAAACCAATAAGCCTTTTATGGCTTAACCATGGACACAAACGTATCCCCAAAGAGGGTACAAAAAAGAGCAGCCCTTGCAAGACCCAGAAAGCTCGCCCCCAGAGACAGTCGGAAGCAGCACAGACCTTCCTCACGCTGGTGGTCTGGATGTGGGGCGGATATGGTACCCCTGGTCTCCCACAGAACGTGAGGCGCTCCAGCCACAAACACGCTGATTCGTGGCCCCGGGCCAGCACGGCTGCACTGGGATCTCTCCAGCACTAACGGGTGACGACAGTGGAGACGACAAAGGTCCCTAAGGGCTGGGACCCCTCGTGACGCACTCCCTGGGGAGCTGGCAGGGCTGGACAGAGACTGCTGCTTGTGACTTCATGTCTGGGAACCCCAGCCTACCCGACTGGCCACCAGATGCACCCCTGTAAGTGCACCTTCTGGATGGTGGAAGCCAAAGAGCATATGCTCACGGGTCATCGGTCACCAAGCCCTCAGGACACAGATTGAGACAAACGGCGTAAACAGAGATAAACATGACCGGCTCTGGGAGAAGATCTACAAACCCAGAGTGCTCCTTCACCAAACTCACTGGCGTCGCTAGCCCAAGCTTTCACAGATACTTCCTGCTAACCGAAATTTAGAGAAAAAGAAAAAGATTCTTGCCACTTTGGTATCCACCGGAACCTGAAGACAGAGAGAGAGAGCTGGGAGGCCGACAGGGCAGGAGTTCCGGCTTTGCACCATCTGTTGTCACAGGGCCCAGGACCTCAGTGGCCCAGCCAGTGTCCTGCAGACCGCACCAGCCATTGGGGACGGGAAGCCTCTGGATGGTTTAAGGATTAAATTGACCCGAGAAAATTAACAGGAGGAAAAAAAAAACATTTAATTTGTACCTACAGAGGTCTCACAGAAGTGGAACCTAAAGAAATGACCAAAGCAGGCAACTTTTATGCTTTGTAGATAAAGAAACCATACATTTGCGAGGGATCAACAAGACCAAGAAACTTAGGCCTGGTGCTTAATTAGTGAGGACTCGGCACAGAGCCTGTTTACACAGCCCTGCCCCCCCCCTGCCTCCCCGCTGTGGTGCTGAAGACTTTTGTTTCCTGCTTTCAGGGAGACAAACGCGTCCCAGGGTGCTTTGTGCACCAGCTGTTTCTTAAGTAACTTTAATTCAAAACATGCAAAGTGGCATTGTGGACGAAAAGGGGATTCTAGGGATAGAAACCTCACCGGGGACCTGACCACAGACTCCCACCTGGGCGGCACGTGGGGAGGGTGTCCCGCCCCAGACCTGCGAGTTCTTCAGGGAGAGGCTGATTCTTCCTCCCGCAGCCCTGACCGTAACTGTGCATCTAGGTTGCAGGCCTTTGAGATAAGCCGGGACCCCTCCGGAGCAGAGCACACCATCGCTCCTGTGATCCGATCCCCACCTGCCCACTCCCACCCTCAGCCATCTTCCTTCCTTCTCTCTTTAATCGTAAATGCCGCAGAGAAACTTCAAAACTGTCCCTCTACAGAGACTGTGAAATCTTGCTTCCCAGCAACTGTCCTCAGTTTGGGTATAAATACTCATGAAAATACTCTACAGGCTTGGACGTTTCTTACATCGACAGCATGTTTTGGGGTGGCCTGCCCTGAGCCTCGTATCACAGCCATCCACCCACCCTCCCCCATCCAGTAGAGGAGCCCCTGCTGGGTGCCAGGTGCTTGCTACCTCTGCAGTTCCTGCAAGCTAGGCCCCCAGTCCCCCTCCTCCAGGCCGCCCTGGCTGCCGCACAGCGTCACAGAAAGCCTCATCCCCTGCTGACTAAGCTTGCAGCCTTCTCTGAAGGGTAGCAGCGTGACCTCAGCCATAGAACTTCCTATACTTGGTGCCTTTGTTAATGGTGGACTTGGAACTCTTTTCATTTTCTTCTCTGGTGATTCGTCTGAGTGGGTTTCCTGCCTCTTCCTGGATCAGTTTGGTCATTTACATTTTGCTGGAAAGCTCTGCGGGCGTCTCTCCCATGGAGCCCACGTGGGGACCTGTGGCGCTCACACGCACCTTCTCTGGGGCCTCCCCTTCATTTCCTAGGACTTCTGGGTGCGTGGTGATGTGGGGTTGGCTGGACCCGCCCTCCCCCCCTGGCTGTGCACACATAGCTCATGTTTGCAACAGTCCCTGGCAGCGAGAAATTCCCCCCTAAATGCGGTGAAAAACTTTAAAGCCACCTGGACATGGGAAAGTCAAAGGCCCACAGATCTGATGTCGTTCCATTTTAGAACATCTCTAAGGAAGAGGCATTCAAATAGATACAGACAATTAATGGCCTGGGAACTGTTCGCAAAGCATTTGACACGTGCTCAGTAAAGAAGACAGGTGGCTGACACGGGTGTCTCCATACCTCTCCAGGGCACAGGGCAGGGATGGCAAGTCCCGGGGGACATCCACCTAGCGATGAGGGAGTGGTGACACCCAGCTGTCCCTGAGCCTGACAAGGGCAGGTTAAGCCAGCATCAAGTTCAAGTCTCGGGTGAAAGACTCCGGGCCTGGTGTTGAGAACGTGGACATTGGCGAAGCCTGTCAGGACGGCGATTGGGCAGCATCTGTCTGACCCTTAACTGTTCACAACCTTCGAATCAGCAATTCTCCCAGAAATCTATTTAAAAGACTTTCTCACAGATAAGAAAGAGACACGATGATCTTGGCAGCATTGTTGTTACAGTAACAAAGTGACTGGGACTGTCTAAATGTCCTTCCTGGGCCTTGGAGTCCAGACCTGGGAACGCCGCTGGGCTGTGAGGAGCAGTTGACAGCTATCTGCACCCTGCTCAAGCCCGTGCGGTGGGGCCTGGTTTCACCGTTCGGTTCCAGTCCGTGCGGATGATGCTTCAGTCAAACACGATCAGACGGCAGCTCCAGGTTCCTCGGAAGCTCCCATGCTGCTCTCACTGTCTGTATCATTTCATCACAGCCCGGCCTGGCCTGCTGACCACTGCATACTCCGGCCTGACGTGTTCTGTGCAAGATGCAGCCTGCAAAAAAGCATGTTTGAATCAACAAACGTACAAAGGAGGGTGTGTGTCCACGTGTGTGTGACTGTGTGTACATGTGTGACTGCATGTATGTGCATGCGTGCATGCACACGTGTGTGGTTGCATGTGTGTGCATGCTTGTGCAAATGTGAGTGTGGCTGCGTGTGTGACTGCATATGAATGAGTGTGCACACGTGTTTCAGTGGCTGTGTGTGTGACTGCATGTGTGCATGTTTATCCATGTGTGTAAGTGGCTGCATGCGCACACACGGAAGGCTGGAAGGGAGCATATCCATTTCTTGGCGGTTGGGGTGGAGCCGAGTGGAAAGAGAAGGAAGTGTGAGTTTGCTCGACGCACGCACATGTGCATTCGCTGTGCTGTGAGCACACCCACCTACTCTGTGTGTTTCCTTTCAGGAGCCACTGTCCCAGAGCCACGCTGGCGGTCGGACTCTGCTGTCCCACAGTGTTTAGCAGATGCCAAAGGCGTTTGGCAAGACTGGTCTGTCCACATTTTTTTTTGCAGAGATGATTTATCTGGTTGGTAAACTGTGTGGCTGCACTCACTGAGCGCTACAGGGTGACCACCTGTGACAGAGCGTCCTATCATCACTGAACAGCGAGCCAAGCCCCACGCTCCATCTGCAGTGGTTTCTAGGTGCTTCTCTGGCGGCTCCAGCACCGCCAGGCAGGGCAGACCCCAGGGTTCACCAGCACCTGCCCCAAGCTGTGTCCTCACCCGTCTGTCTCTGGAAGAGCCCGTCCCGTGGGAGTGGCGGAGCTGCCCCTCACCGCCCTGGCAGCAGTGCTGCCCGGCAGGTATCCATCCACCACCACTGACCGGCGTCAGGCTCCTGTGCAGGCCCAGGCCTCCAGACGGTGCGTGTGGGCGGCTGGAGGTGCCAGAGCCACCTGGCCCTGTCCCCATCCACATTTCCGTCAGCCCATCACGAGGAAGCACATGGACTGTGGTGCTGGCTCCCGTGGGTGACGTGTGATGTGGCGGCCCCACTCTGAGCTAGAGACCGTCATGCCGCCCGCCGTGGGGTCCAGGCCAAAACCACGGGGAAGCCAGAGCAGGCCTGCCGCACCACCAGGCGGCCACACGGCAGGGGGAGGGCTTCCGCTCGCGTTGTCTCTGTCCCGTCCACGCCTTCCTCTTGCAGACCTCGTTCAGCCAGAATCAGAGAACCCCTGGCGTTTCCGTGGTCTGTGTAAAGTCGGGGCTCCGTAAAGCGTCATGTGCAAGAATCCTAACATCTAACCCTTTTTAAAAAGACTTTTATTTTGAGGGAGTAGTTTTAGATTCACAGCAAAATTGAGGGGAGGTATTAGGGTCACTCTCAGTGTTGTACATCCTGTGGGTTTGGACAAATGTGGAATGACACGTATCCCCCACTACAGCGTCATAGAGGGTCTTTTCACTGCCCTAAAAGTCCTCTGTGCACCCCCCTGTTCATCCCTTCCTCCCCAGCCCTGACAACCCCTGATCTTTTACTGTCTCCTTAGTTTTGTCTGCTCCGGAATGTCCTAGGGTTGACATCACAGGGTATCAGCCTTTGATACCTAACGTTTTTTTTTTCTGATTATAAAAAGGCTGTTTGCTCACTATGAGAAGTATTAATTTATACAGGAAAGCTCAAGTGACTAACTAGAGCCAATCCCAGTTTTGGTGAAGAACCGGGCGCCGCTCTGTCTGTCCACCAGGGTGTGTGCTCACGCTCTCTCGCACACTCACAGTCACCGCACACGCGCATTCGGCCGCCCCACCCCCTCTGACTACTTTCTCCCTGAACGGCCCATTGTGCGCATTTTGAGGTCATTACCATGGCTGGCTCCTTTCGGAGGCGACATTGTACACCGGTGTCATTTGTTCTGCCAGCAGCTCCTCAGTGTCGGGGCACACAGACACCCTCTGTCTATGACACCTTCTCGGTACATCAAAATGTTGAGCGCGTGAAACCACCCTCCAGAGAGAGAGTGCGGCCGTGCGTTGCTCCGGTCATAAATAAAAGTGCCTGTCTGACCACAGCCTCACAAACTAGATATTCGTTAGAGAGTGGTTTTTTTGCCTATCTGCTTAGGTAAAAATATTTCATTGTCTTAATTTGTATTTCTTTGATGTGTGTGCCATTCCTATTTCATGATCATGTCATTTTCCTGCTGAATTTTTTATTCACCTAGAAATGATTTGGTAAAACAGTGAATTAGAATTCCCGCTTCATGTTTTCTAAACGGTGAGCCAGCAGAACCAATGCTGCGTTTAGGCGTGCGTACATACAGAGAAAACATTTATTTACATTTAGCTTCCTACGATTACACATGAACATTGAAGCTCCCTTTGTAAGCGTGCCTGAGAGAAGCAGGGGTCTCAGCCACATTTCTGAACTGGCTGAGACTCCCGCCCTTTGATGTCAGCCCAGCACCTCACCTGAAAGTGACAGGAGGGACCCAAACTGAGATCCGGGTCGCAGCCCACCCTGCAGCAGTTCCTGCAGGGAGAGCCTCTGGGCAGTAAGCTCTTTGTCCTCATAAAATGGTTTTGTTTTGACCACTTTCTAGAATGATGGCTTAGCTGGAAATTGTCGAGGCAGAGGCAAGAATGTCCAAACCCGTAGAGAATTTTTATAAAAATGCATTTGAGCCGAACAGAGGATACACCTGGAAGCAAAAGCTAAATGCTTCCTAGAAATGGCAGTTTGCAGCTTGTCTTACGCCTTGGAGTTAAGCGGGGAGTGGAAGGAAGATTCCTTGGAGGGGTTACTGGAGAGTTAACAGGCGCTGCCCTCCTGAGGGGGCTGTATCTTGAGGAGGAGGGTCCGAAAGGCGCATTGCAGAGGCCTGTGTGTGAGCCTGTGTCCACCGGAGGCCGGCAGAGTCACAGGCCCCGGCATCTGTGATCCATCCCCTGGGAGGTTCCTTTCCACAGAGCCCCGTTTTCGTCCACAAAAGAAAACTCGGTGTTGGCGTTTTCTTACAACTTTGTAAAGAGACCTGTGCTCCTCTTACCTCGGAGAAGCCAGGCGGGCTGAGGGCTTTGCGGGCGGGCGGGGCCCGCGCCCATCTCTGTGGGGCCTGCCCTCCGGCTGCCGTCACACGGTGCCCCTGTCCCCCCTCCCCCCGCCCTGTTCCCCAGGGTGGTGCTTTGCTGTAACTTATCCAGCTCCAGAATCAGTATGGTTTTTAAGTCTTATGACTTGCGATTATTTTTCCCATTGTTAAAATCTCAACCATTGTTTCTTTAAATGCCTTAGATACTCCCCTTTCCATTTCTTTCCAATCTCTTCTGGAGATCTCACCGGGCACTGGGACGTGCTTCTGAAGGCCTGAGAGGCACTTCTCTGCCTCCGCCCCCTCCAGCGGTCCCCTCAGGGGCAGCCGAGCCAGTGGGTGGGCCTTCAGTTACCTGCGCATTCCAGTTCATCTCTATTCATCCTCTCCCAGGGCTTACTTTATTGTTCTGTTCAGGGTTTCTTTAACATTTATTCTTTCTTGTTCAGTAAAACGTTTAAGGTGTGAATTTTCCACCCGAGTTTCACTTTGGCCCCGTCCCAGAAGTGTTGCGATAATGTTACCGGGTGTGATTAGCTTCTAGATGTTCTGCGGTTTGGGATTCAAGGTTACTCTTTCACTCAAGCGTTTTTTAGGAGGGTTTCCACATTTCTGTAGTTGTTTTTAAGCCTGTGCTGAATTCTACTTTTGATTCTGCTCTATCAAGCAGCCTTCTTATACGTACTTATTAACGTTCTTTCTAAAGGTATTACTGCTTGTTAGCTTGAACTGCTGAGAAGCATGGCTGTATTAAAACCGCCGCGGCCCTGCACCTCTGTCCACGGCTCCTGTGCCCCTCACCGTGGGGTCGTGTCGATTCTCAGACCCTGTCATTTAGAGCAGAAATGTGCCTGACAGTTACTGCTCCTCTTGGCGCCTATGACGCAGCTCCTGTCTGATGTATGATCATGTTTAGCAATATTTCTTTAGCCAGATAATTGCCAGAAACAGGTAAAACGTGGCTCTCGCACAGGTATGAAAATGAGCACGTGTTTAGGATTGTCTTCCCTCACCAGACAGTGAGGGGACCAGTCAGACGTCACAACCAGTTCCAAAGAAAAGTCAGAAAAGCACAAATTTATATGGAGTAAAGGAATGAATTGCAGAGGCAGATGGGGGCAGAACTGGTTCTCCTGGGGGTGGGGGTGGGGGTGCAGGTGGAGGCGGCTGTCCAGGCCTGTGAAGCACCGGAGGCCTGACAGCTCCAGGGTGTGCTGTGGGCGAGGCTGCCATTTTCCCTGCAGTTTCTCTGCTTTTGATAAAGAATAATTGCAAAGAAAGATTAGTCTTGATCCCAAAACAAGTCTGGCCTCCTTGGCCTGATGACTTCCTCGGGCGCCCTCAGGGCGTTCACTGGCCGTTCCTTGCTGGCCCTCTTGAAATTGCTCTGCTAAGAGTTCCCATCTGGGTTCCAGATGGGAGATTTAACAGGTTCTTTGTTGTCCTGAAGCTGGGAGCCCCGGACTCACCAGGTTTCATGAGCAAATTCCTATTTCCTCTCGAGGTTTTCCAGATATTCTGAGGTTCTTGGACCTGCCAGGATGTGAACCTCCTGACACTGTGCCTGGCAGTTTCCCTGGCAAGGTGACAACCACAAGCTCTTCACAAGTGCTAGGTCCCCTCAGTCAAACACGCGTCACTCTCTAATCTGGCCTCCCAGGCCTGGCCTTGGTTGCATAATCGCTGTTTCCAGTCAAGTCCTGGTGAAAACAGGCCAGATTGTCCCTGAGCCCGGGCACATGATCTTACTGCCCGGAAAGTAAGTGCCCCGCAAGAGCTTCCTCGCTCTGCAGGGCTGGGGGGGAGGGGGGGAGTGAGGTGCCACTCAGAAACGCTTCCTTTCTTCTGATTGTGCAATAGACCAACACCTAAGACAGTTGCCGTCAGCACTCATCGGCCCCTCCAGTCCCAAGGGGTGGGTCCTGTTCTGTTTGGTCTGGTCCCCAGGTCTCGACAGTCCCGTGTCTTTCTCCACTACCTTTCTGGAAACCCTGACGCAGGCACTAGCCGGGCCCCCGGCGCTGCTCCGCAGACGCGAGCAACCGGCAGGACCGCGGAGGCCACACAGATGGTCTGTCTGCTCACGTGAGAGGCACTTCAGAGCAAACAGAGGCACTGTAACTGCAGGGAGCCTTAGCGCACTCCTGCGTGCGGGAGCTTTGGGTTTTTTATATAATCAAACATAATAAAGACAACATGAAGGGAAGAAAATGATCCTGCTGAGATCCAGAACCTTTGTCGCCTGGGCAGGTTACACAGACAGCAAAGAGCAAGTCTCCATAGTGCAGGTGAGAGCAACACAGCAAACTGAGCAGACTTTCTAAGCTGTTAACACATTCCATTGCTTTTCTTAAAACTGGCATTCTTTTCTTAAGTTTGGTAAAATACACATAACATAGACTTTGCCACTTAAACCATGTTAAAGTGTCCAGTTCAGTGTCGTTAATGACGTTTGCAGTGTTGTATGACCTTCGCCACAATCTGGCTCTGGAACATTTTCATCCCCAAGGAAGCCCCTGCTCAGCAGTCACCCCCTGCCCCAGTCTCTGGTGACCAGCGTCCGCTTTGCCTCCGGCTATGCCCGTTGTGGGCATTTTATGCACGAGGAGCCCCACGCTGTGTGATGTGTTTTCGAGGTGTGACATTGTAGCGTGTGTCAGAGCCGAGGCTGTTCCCAGTGTGGCCGGCCCGTCCACCACCCATGATGGCCGTCTGGCTTGGCGACTGTGAACACAGCTGCTGGGAACATTCACAGGAAGTCTGCGTTTGAACCTGTTTCCCGGTTTCCTGGGTCTGTCCCTCGGAGTAACCTGCCGGTTCAAAGGGCCACTCTGTGTGACGCTCCAAGGCCAGCGTCCACGGCGGCCACACCAGCTCACGTCCCATGGGCGGAGTGGGAGGGCTGTCATCTCCACATCCCTGGCCACACTTACTTTCTGTCTTAGTGATGCTAGCCGTCCCGGTGGCTGTGAAGTGGTGTCTCCCTGTGGCTTTGACGTGACCAACGATGCTGAGCGTCTTTTCATGGGCTTGATGGCTGTTTATGCACCTTCTGATTCATAGCTTTTAAACTCAGCTGTTGTAAACTGAGTAAAATGAAGTTATTTCCAAATTCTATCCCTCCTATGTCTTTTAATTGCCTGGGGAAAACCCGCTGTTACTTTAGGGCCACGTGAGGAGGTCCATGGTGGCAGAACCCACTTCTGAGGCGCTCAGATGTCCATCACACGCATGTGTCCATGTCACTGTCTTCAGATGAATGGAGGCGCCCGCTTTTAGAAAGTTTCCATGTTGCAGTGTCCAGTCCGGTAAATATCAATAGGTACAACCCACAAAGAGCCACTGGGTCGGCGGGAAGTGTGTGTGTAAGCGAACCGATTCGTTACTGAGAACTGTTACTCAGCCATGAAGGTGTCTTGCCGTCTGTCAGCCTAAAGACCAATCTCCAGGCTTTTTGGTAACGTGACCCTGGTGAGTTCATGACTGGACTCTCTGGTTGCCTACACTGTTTCTGAGAAAAAATGCCGAGACTTGCTCACATGTACCGTCGCTTGGTGTCCACAGGGGGCTGACTTCAGGCACCCCCCAGGTATCCTTGGGTGCGTGAGCCCAGCCGTCGACCATCCACATCACAGATGGGGAACAGCCGGGGCGAATAGCCGCATGGACAGCTGGGAGGACAGCTGGGAGGACAACTGGGTGGACAGCAGGGGCAGACAGCAGGGGCGGACAGACGGGATGGACAGCTGGGTGGACAGCTGGGTGGACAGCTGCGGTGGACAGCCAACTGCAGATTTACACTAGGCTTCCATTTTTCTCTGCCACGAGGGTGTGGCGTCAGGTCTGTTGATGAAGGAATCCATCCCGCCCCTTTGAGAAGCTGTGTAAGGACACGTGGCTGTCAAAAGTTGTCTGTGTGTGTCATGCGCTCTGCTGGACTGCTGTGTGCTAGTGCACGCACACCCTTCACAGTTGTCCACCCCGAGCTCACTGGGACAAAAATGACTTTGGTTCTCAAGAGGGACAAGCTGTTCCTGAGTGTCTGTAGGGGCACGAGAGACATCGGAAGGGACGTGCACACGCAGAACAAGCCCTTTCCCTCATCTTGTTTCCAGGGCAACCACATCATCCCCTGCCCGGCCGCAAGGCCCGCAGCCCAGGCGTGGGGACCCAGGCCCCTTCGGATTACAGCCTGCCTTTGGGACAGCTGCAGCGCCCCTGCACGGCTCAGGTAACATTCCTTCATCTAAGAAATGTATTTTAATAGCTTTTGACTAATTGCTGAAGTATCGCATGTTCATTACAGAAACTTCAAAATACAGTCCACACAATTTTAAAAGCCTCCAATTTTCAGCACCCAAATGTAGTTACCAGTACCATTCTGTTTCTGCTGGTTTTTAAATTACAAATTATGTCAGACATATGTTCGACTATAGCTTTACCCACCTGGCTGTTCTTTTTTGAAGTATTCACCAATATGGTAGGTTAAAATTTTGCATTGTTTAAAAATTTCTTTTATCCTTAGTGGCAATAAAGTTTTTAATCTATTTTAATCAGCCATATTTATTCTTTGCTCATTTTTCTACTGGTGTGTTTGTATTTTTCTTGTTAGTTTGTAAGAGTTCTTTCTAGATAAAGGAAATTGTTACTTGTCTGTTCTAAGTCTTTCTCAAGCTTGTTCATTTGCCTTTTAATTTTTAATTTTTCTTAAATCCACAGACAACTTATTATTATTTTTTTAATATAATGAATTCTTGTCTGTTATAACGGTTTATTTTGCTTTTTGGCTTAAAGGGTTTTTCTCTATTCTGAGTTTAGATTAATAGTCACTCATTTTCCAATGTTGTTCTATTTTACTAATTGTCACAATACCTTTTTCCTCACTGATTTTGAGTTGACAGTTTTATCAAGTGCTAAAAATTGATACTCTTGCTTATGTTTTTTTTAATTAACTTTTTATTTTGAATTTCAAATTTATACAATGTTGCAAGAATAGCATAGAACCCTTCACCTAAACCCACCAGTTGTTCACTTATTGTTACATTTGCTTTGTCTTCTTTCTCTTCACTCCCTCTGCCTCCCCCACATTTTAGATGGAGAGAGAGGGAGCGATGACCGACAGACAGAGAGGGAGACAAACATCTCTTTTCCTGGGCCAGCTCAGAGTAAGTTGCAGACATGGAGCTCCTTTATGTCTGAAAACAAGTGCACCCCTGACATATCAACAGTTACAGTAAATTACCAAAGTCAGGAAACAGCGTTAATACAGCTCTAGAATTTAATACATGGTCCATGTTCACATTTTGCCAGTCGCCCCTTTTTAGCCGTTCTCTGCTAAGCAGCCAGTCCACAACCTCCGTCAATCCAGTGCTTGTATGTGTGGGTGTGTGTGTGTGCACATGAGCATTGTGCACATGTGTGGATGTGGATGTGTGTATGCATATGTACATAAGAAGGTGTGACAATTAAGTTCGCAAACTCATCCTAGAAAAGTGCTACCTACCTCATTGCTGAATATCACACAGTCACCTTCGAAGTACTCCCCTTGGGAAGCTATGCACCAACGCCAGCGCCTAGTCCACCCTTCAAAGCAATTTTGGAACTCTTTCTGGAATGTCCATCAGAGCTGTCATCGTATTACTCTTAATGTCCTGAATGTCACCAAAATGTCTTCCTTTCAATATTTTCTTTATCTTCAGGTAAAGAAAGAAGTTATTGAGGACCAGATCAGGTGGGTAGGGAGGGTGTGCCAATACAGTTAAGTTCACTGGCTAAAAACTCCTTCCCAGACAGTGCTGTGTGAGCTGGTGCATTGTTGTGATGCAAGAGCCATAAATTGTTGACGAAAAGCTCAGGTTGTCTAACTTTTTCACGCAGACTTTTTCAGCACTTCCAAATAGTCAACTTGCTTAACTGGTTGTCCAGTTGGTACAAATTCATGATGAATAATCCCTGTGATATCAAAAAAGGTTATATAACATTGTTGCAACAAGTTTGCAAATTTTATTGTCAGACCTTGTATGTGTATGAGTGTGAGCGTGTGTGTATGCACATGTGTGGGTACCTTGTATGCAGTGTGCCTGTGTGTCCTTCAACCAGAACGGGTGGTCCGCCCTCCCTGGCTTCCAGGGCACTAACAGCCGGAGAAGCCGGCGGTGGGCCGTGGTCTCTGGGGCTGACGCTGCAGGACTGTAGGGCTTGTGCTGGGCGTTGATTTTCTGCAGCGTTCCAGGCAGCCGTGCATCTGCTTTAAATGACAGAGTGTTGTCATGTTTTTCAAATTACGTTACAAATATATGTAACGAGTTTGCCCTTGTTTCTGTTTCTTTACCAAATTCCCTTGGCTCTTCTCTCTCATTTAATCTTTACTGGGTGGATACTCGTATTTATGCACTGACTTTTAAATAAATATTTTAGACTCCAAAGAAGATCCAGAGAACCCCTGTGTGAATACCATCTGACCTACTAAGTAAACGTTAGAACGGCAAAATCCCTGTAGGGCTCTGCCCATCCCCCCGCATTCAGACTGCCTGAAGCTGGTGTGTCCTGAGCAGATGGCTGAAAAGCCATGTAAGGCGTATCTGGCTGTGCACACACCTTTCTGCCCACCTGCTTTCTTTCACCATAATGTGTCTGAGCCATGTCTGTGCCGACACAGGTCGTCCTAGTTCAGGGATTGGCAGACTTTGTCTGCAGAGGGCCAGGCAGCAACTGTGCTCACCCTTAAGGGCCGTGCAGTCCTTGTTGCGACATGTCCAGTCGCATCTAGCCTGAATGCGGCCACCGGCGGAACATGACCAGATGGGCGCGGATGCACCGGTGAACTTCATGGGCCTTGACATTTTAATTTCTTACAATTTTCGTGTTTTGAAGTATTTTTCTTTTGATTTTTCCAACTGTTTAAAAATGTAAAGACTTTCAGCTCCTGGGCTGCACAAGCAGTGGGAGCTGTGGTTTGCCAGCCCTGGCCTCTACACTCCATTGTCCACTCTGTCCATGGTGTGGCGAGGCCGGCGTCTGTCCAGTCTTCTACAGGACATTTCAGTCGCTTACCAGGATTTTGCTATGAACGTTGTTACAGACGACGCTCTGTGCGGAAGTGTCTCTAGGGCATCTTTCTAAGACGTGGTCAGGTGACAGGCTGACATGACTGGACCAGGCTTTACCACCACAGACAATGCTGAATACTATTCTAAGTCCTTCAAGCTAACACTTTCTAACCAGGGCAGCTCTCAGGAACATGGCAGACTTTTCTGGAATGATTTTATCTGCCAGCTCTGCGGAACTAACTGACGCTAATACACGCACCCGTGGTCTCCTGGGTTCTGGACGCTGACAGACGCCTGCTCAGCGGTGAGGGCCCACCCCGCCCCTCAGGTCACACACCTGCTGCCTGGCCAGGATGCCCTGTAGCCCAGAGGCCGGTGGCCGGCACCCCCATTGGGTCCTGGCTCAGAGACGCCCTCCACATTGTATGTTCAGTAGAATGTCTACTGTAGGTTTTTGTAGTATGTTGAACCACACAAGATTGCCATTTTAGTGGGTCAAAAGTGGTCTAATATCAGTAGTTTCATATTTGGACCTTAGTTAAGCCTATTGCAGACCCCTCGTCAGTTTAAACAAGTTCTTCCTTCTCCTGCTTTGCTGAGATAGTGCCCAGGATGAGTGCTGAGCCTGTGTGGGGACCTGGCTCCTGTGGGTGGGACGTCAGCTGCCCGAGGCCACGCTCTGGTTAAGTGCGTCACACTGCCAGGTCCTCGCAGGGGGGGCATGTGCCCCCTGAGCGTGGGTGGTGTGCTTCTGCCTCGAGGGGCTTCCTCACTTTTCTGTTCTTCATGAGTACTTAAATACGACTGGACACCTCCACCCTCATGGATCAGACCTGTGCCTTGGGATGCCTGTGCGGTTTCAAGGAATATGGGGGCTTATAGACTTGATGCTAATCTTTATCTGTTGGACGTGTTGCAGGCAGTCTCCCAGTGTATAGTTTGTCTTTTCAGTTTATTTGAAATGGATGGAAATAAAAGCGAGACAGAGGGCCCATTACGCCGCGAGGTGACATGAGTTCTGAGCTGCTGTTAGCGAGGCAGGAGTGGCCACAAGCTCCGCTGGGCAGGGGGCCCGTGGGCAAGGGCCGGAGCCGGCCTGAGAAGTGCGGCTGGGTGGGGCTAAGTTCGTCCCAGCCGGTGGACCGAGTATGTCCCTCCCTTTTGGCTCGTCACCAAGCGGACTGATGTCCCAGTACCAGCAACTTTGGGAAAGTGTTTCTTCTCATCTTGAGGGAGGACTCAGCAACATGCCCAGTGGATGAGCCACGACACTGAATTCCTTATTTAAATGTTCGTGGCAGGACCCGAACACCAAGGAGGAACGTTTCCGCGAAAGCTCAGGGAAGATCCAGCCCCACGTGGCTCAGACAGTCCGCAGAATCGATACTCGGGGAGGCTGTGCAGCGGGCGAGGCGGGGCCAGGGCAGGTAAGGCGGACCAGAGCGGGTACAGAGTGGGGTACGGGGTGGGGGGGGGCCGGTGGGACCTGGGCTGTACCGTAGTGCTGGGTGTTTATGCTGCGTCTCAGCGTGGGGACCACCCTCGGGAATGCAGTGCTTGGTGTCACAGGAGAAGGCCAGTGCCCTGAGTGTCATCTCGGTTGCCGGGCCTGCGTGGAGGGTGACAGTGCTGAGAGCATTAGTGGAAGGGTTCAGCCGGGCGATGGGGTGGTGGTGGGATCCAGGCCCCACGGTGGCCCTTCTTCGTCCTGCTGCGGAGACGGGCCTTGTGCTCCTGCCCGTCCCCCCAGACCCCTACGCGTCCTGACAGCCTTGCCTCTGCCATCCCTGCACTGAGCCCCAACCCAGCTAGTGGCGCTCCGCCAGCCCTGGTCATGCCCGCGGCCTGCCTCCAGCGGCACCACAGAGGCCTGTCACCTACCCAGAAGAGGGGATGGCGTCCTGTGGTTGCCTCTAGGATAACGCTATCATTTCTAACTTTTACAGAAGCCACACAAGGTCTCTACAGGGACTTGCAAATCAAGTCGTCAAAAAGAAAACCAGTCCCCAAAGCCACACCAGGCTCAAGAATTCCACCAGGACAATGGCCGCCACACCCAAAGGTCCTCATCACTTGCCAGCAGTTCCCTCCAGGACACGTGGAAGTTATTGGACCTGGGCTCCAGCCCTTCAGGCCTCACCTCCCAGGATGACGCAACTCCAGGTAGGTGAGCGTGTGCGTTCCTGGGCCGCTGCTGCCAGGCTCCCAGTGGCACTCCTCCGCCTTTTGAAGCTCCTGCACTTTGGGCCCGTCACCTCCCTCCTGTGGCATGGTTCTGAGCACCCCCGCATGCTGTGTGCAGACCCAAGGACAGAGCCCGGCTTCTCTAGCGTAGCGTCCAGCTGATGACTGTGTCGTATCTACTCAGAGTGGGGCCCACAGGATGGGAGCATCATTTCCACGAGAATCAGGCAGGCCCATTTCAAGGGCCCCTTTGTGGAGGCTGCATGAGGCCATGACGTAGCAGGAAGGGCGGGGGGAGGGGACGCTGTTGGAGAGGCGCAGACTTGGCACCGTCGGGTCAGTGCAGACAGTGCCTCACTCAGGTCTCTCAGCCACACACGCCTGCTAGCCACGTCCACCACATCCACGGGCCAGCGTTTGTCCCAGCACCTGCTCACCGATGGACATTTAGGCCATTTCCGGCTTGTCACAGTCATGTCACCGTAATGTCACAGTAAGTAGCTGCATGGGCACTGCAGCACACGTGTAACAGGACACATGGAAGTCCCAAAGGGGCTGCTTCCTCAGAAGTGTCACCATTTCTAGTGTGGAAACACAGTCAGCTGGATCCTTGGGGACCGTGCCAGCTCACACCGAAAGCCTCCCAGCACAGGACCCGCCGACGGGACAGCCTTGGTCCCCAGGCGGCCATGTCATTTCAGCTCCACTCCTCCTATGAGGCCGTTGTGCACATGCTCCGTCAGTTCTCTGCCGGTGTCTGTCTATAATACGGGCTTTAGTATCCTACTGATTCGTAGGAGCTCGTCATAAATCATGGAAATGAGACTTTTTCTGAGCCGCGAATTGCAGATGTTTTCCCACCGTTTTTCATTGGCTTTTTTTGGGGGTTTGCTTATGGTGGTTTTTATCATGCACATGTGTTTTTGTTTTTTTTTAATGTAGTTAAATTAACAACCTTGTTTTTAACCCTTCCCGGGCTTTGTGCTGTACTTAGGCCTTTTCCACTTTGAGATTAGAGATTATTTTTCCAGGATGTCTTCTAACGCAGTATGGCTTCACTTTTTTACATTTATGTCCGTGGTCTAGTTGGAATTTGCCATGGTGTATGTTGGAGGTAGGAACCAGTTTCCCCAGATGGCCGTTGAGATGTCCTACAGCAGCTGCTGAGGCACCGTGCTTCCCCGCCCCCTTTGTTTGACATCCCACCGTAATGCTACGTCTTCCGGGTATATCTGAGTCTGACCCCCATCATCTATGGTGTCCCACTGTCTGTCGGTCGGCTCACGTGCGGTACGTGGTGTCTGAGTGGCTTTGGCTTCTGGGGCCTTCTCAGGCCTGGCTGACCTGCGTCCCCTCTTCACGCGTGTTCCTCAGAGTGCCCGAGTTCTCCTCATTCACTGATTTCCCCATAGCCTGTAGGCCCCGCTTGCCTCGTGCCCCCACTGCCACTGGCTTTCTGAAGTTCCTCACGCCTGTTCTCAGACTCAGGAAGAGACGACGCCGTGTTGGTCTGCGTCCCTTCCCCACTGTGCTGATTTAGCCTTTAGCCCTGGACTGTCTGTGTCAGTGTCCCGTGGATCCGCCAGCTAAAGCACGCTCGCTGCTGTGCTCACACGTGCCCCGTGCCCTGTCCCCCGAGCTCTGTTTGCTCTGTGGCCTGGAATCCGTGTGGCCACCGCTTCTGCACCGTTTTCGTTTGCATGTTTCGTGTTTTTCATCGGCTCTCCCAGGAGCTTTTTGGGGGGCGTTCACTGCCATTCGTTTGCTTGTCTCCTCCCCTTTTATTTTTTTATTTTTTTATTTTTTATTTTTTTTAGCTGAGCCATCCTGCTACCTGTTGGCAGCTCAGCGGCTGCTCAGCTCGGGCTGGACTCGAACCGCTGTTGCTCAGAGCTCAAACTCTTGAGCGAGCTCTTAACCAACTGAGCCACTCGGCCGGCCCCTCCTCCCCTTTTATCTTATGGCTCTTTGGTCCCTTCATCCCCCTCATCTTGTCAAGATGCAAATTTCTCCTTGACCAGGTGTCTGTGGGAAATTTGTAGGAAAGGAGGCAGGGCCGCTTCTCCAGTCCAGCAGCAGAGTTTTCTTGTGTCTGGTGTTTCAGGAAGTTCAGCCTTTACTTCTGTCGCCTGTGAAAGTCGGTGCCTGTGAGGCCCCACCAGAGCCCAGCACCCTGCAGTGCGACCTCTGCCCCCACGGGCCTGTGCAGGTCCTGTTTTCCAGCCCCTCAGGTATGCCCCTCACCTCTGAAAGCGGAGCCCTCCAGCTGCCTGTCCAAACGCCTGTACTGGCCCCCCTGCCAAATTCCCACTGCCTTGGGCAGAACTACCATTTCTCACATCTGGGTTTTAGCTCTTTGTCTGAATGAAAAAAAACAAACAAAAAACTGGGGGCAAGATTTAAAGGAAGCACAGGAAACATGGGCGCTTTCTGATGCCTTCGTCAGGTTAGGGACCTCCTTGTCCCCTGGTCAGAGTGCCCTCCGGCCACAGCGCTGACCCCCCAGCGGGGACCCTGCCTGTCTGCTGTCATTCCCTCCTCCTGCTTCAGGACTCAGCTCATGTTTTTATGTTTTTCTCTAAATTATTTGGAGTTTTTAAAGTCCCAAGTCATGAGATTTTTTCCTTTTTTCACTGTCTTTTGGTTAGCGATTTCTCATAGTTTTACATTTGGGGCAGAAAATAAAATCACCATGATGTGAATCCTTCTGAGAGAGTGGGAGCCGCGCCTGCATGTGACCCGTCACCATGTGGAGGCGTGTCCTTAGGTGTGTGTGTTAGGCTGTTGCTGGAACCTCTGTGTCACGCCCCCGCTGGCCCTCATGTTGTGTTTCGCCAAGAAACCTGTTTTGTCTGACACCCGGAGGCCACCTCAGTCCCGTGGGCTGATACTCTGTTGGCTTTCTGTGTCCTTTCATTTCAGCCTCTGCAGCCTCCGGCTGGTGCGCCTGACGGCCCTTGAAAGCACAGCACCCTGGCTTCCTTTCCCTGTGTCGTGGTCGGACCCTGTGTTTTTGTCTGGGGGTTTCATACATTTGCATTTACTGCGATGTTCTCACAGTAGAGCTTTCTCTGACGTCTTGTTTTGTGCTTTCTATTTGGCATGCTTTAAATTCTTTGAAACGTTTTCTCCGGCCTCTCATTGGGTAGATTACATTTTCCATTCCCTTCTGCCTGTTTTTAAGTTGCAGTCCGTTTTCACCCCTAAATTATGAAGACCCGACTTACTTGCATTTCACGCACCCATTTCTTGCTTATCCGCATCTGTAATGAGGGCCTTAGCTGCTGGGCCGGGTGGCTGTGTTTCAGACAAAAGTAAATTTAACTAAGTTCTTTGAGTTTATCTTTGTTTTTCAAGCCTCTGCTCGTAGCCTCTTGGGTATGTATTTCTTCTTTTAAGATAAATTTAAAAGAAAATTTTATATAGGAAGCTTTTTGAGGCCTTGTCTGTGAGAGCATTTTCATTTTTGCCTCACTTGGATATACTTTCGTTAAGTATAAAACTGTAGTCCTCCATTTCTCGCCGTGTGTCAGGTAACTACCTGGACCGGCACTGGCACTGGCACTGAAAACAGCTAACATGCTGAATAAAACACGAAAGCCATACTTGTGAGACATCAGGAAACGGCAGGAGGCTCAGGACGTCTCAAGCTAGAGCCTGTGTGAGGGGGGCTCCGTGAGGCAGGCAGGCTGAGCGCTGAGGCTGACTTTCAGCCACGGACTTTGTCAAACAGGGTGAGCTTGATAATGGGCACACGTCACAGGGCTCAGAAAACAGGTGACAAGACCCAGGGCCCACCCAAGGTGGGAGTGCGATGGGGGCCCCACTCCTATGAAGCTGGGACTGGGAAGGACAGCACTTCAGTGTGAAGGTGGACCACACCCCCCACCCCTACCTTCCCCCCCCCCGCATCCCCCACCGGGGCTGTCAGAAAGACTGTGGACACAGCCTCAGGACATGGTAGCCACTTATAATCTGTCCTTGCCATTAGCCCTCATGTGGTTTGCCCCAGTTAAGACTCTGGGGAGGTCTGAGAATTTTATCCTGGAGTCATTCTGACCTGGTGGAGTCCCCAGGAGCTAGACAAGAGCAAATGCAGGCCATTTCGGGGGGTCCACCTTTGTTCCAGGCCGTGAAAAATTCCTGCAAATCAGATTCCAATTAAAAAGAAGACCCCAGGGCCGGCCGAGTGGTGCGTTGGTTAAGAGCTGTTTTGGGAGGCCAGAGGGCCCCTGTTCGGATCCCACATATGAGGGCCAGTGACACTGCCCTCTACAGCTAAGATGCTGAACAACAGCTCAACCTGGAGCTGGG